AGAGTCCACTCCTTTGCGGATCCAGCTTCGAATAATATTTTTTCTGACTCCTACACGCGCAAACTTTCCAACCGATACTCGATCGTATCGAGGCTGGCCGCGTTGTACCGGAAGTAACCAATCAGACTCCTCTCTCTCGGCTTCTCTCCTCTTCGATCCGCGCCCACTGCTTCTTTTACCCACCCCTTTCAGCCCTGTCCTTGAAACGTTGGGGGGGTAAAAATCGAAACGATCGAGAGACGTTTCTTCGTGGATCCGATTCCACGTGGATCCAAGCGAGGCAGGGTATCTCGGTATGCAGGTCACCCCATTCGTGAGTCCACAAATCACCGGATGCATTGTCTGATCAGATAACGCGCGAGTTTATGTTATCTCGCGGTGGCTACCGCATAACTCTCGCTCGAGTTATCACGAGCATCCACCCAGGAAGGGGAGAGGGAAGAGGATGGACGGACATGCCGGCGACGTTCCTGACGTGAAGCGAAAGCGTGTGTTACGCGTGTGTTGCGACTTGGAGTCGCGACACCAACTTTTATTGCGATCCCTCCGTGAGAAACGACGTGCACGGGACACGTGCAGCTACGTGGACCGATAACGGCCTCCTCGTCGAGATCGTCGAGCCTCTCGTGCACCGCGTCGGTCGTCGACGTCGACAGGAAAAATCACTGGGCGGCGCGAAAATGGCACGATTTCTCGATATCTCGGGCGTCTCTTATTGCCGTGTTCGCGGTTCGTTTCGAACTTTTATTAGGTCGAACTTCTGAACGCGATTGGGAAGTGTTACACGTACCGAGAAGGTAGTTGGGAACGCACGTGACACTTTTACCTGTCGGGGACCCGGGTATGGGATAGATGATCCGCCGTCCGATGCATTTTCGAGAGGCTTTCGTAGATTCGGATTACCGTTCACGTGTCACGTGCGGGAACATCGATACGAAATGGAATGAGACAACAACGCGACTCTCGGAGAAAAGAAAGAAATCGTAATTAGTATCTGGTTGTTTTTTAAATTAAATTTAATACATTATTGTATTTTTCTTTTTATATTATTTATATGTGTTTTTTTTATTTCTAGTCGTTGAAAATACAGTTTGAGGAGACGGGTATTTAAAAGGGTAAGTAAACGATTGAATTACATAATTAGATATAAGTAAAATGATGAAAAAATGATTAGTTCCTGAAACAATTTGGCGAAGAGGTAAGTATACGTAGGGTAAGTATAAAAGGTAAGTAAAAAAATACTTAAGAAAAGGTAAATTTCAGAAAAATTTCACGTGCCACCTCTTTCTGAATTATATTCTCCTGATACAAAATGGAAAAACTGGGCAAAATTTTCGTTCGCTCGAGAGTTTCCATAATTCCAAGAATGTGACGTCATTTCCAAGAATTTTAGAAATTCTAGGAATGTGACGTCGTTTCCAAGAATTTTAGAAATTGCAAGAATTTGACGTCATTTCCAAGAACTGCCAAAATTCCTGGAAAAATTTCTCGAACGACCTCCTATCAACTTATATTCTCCTGATACAAAATCGAAAAAATTGGGCAAAAACTTTCGTTCGCTCGAGAGTTTCGATAATTCCAAGAATGTGACGTCATTTCCAAGAATTTTAGAAATTCTAGGAATGTGACGTCGTTTCTAAGATTTAGAATTCCAAGAATTTGACGTCATTTCCAAGAACTGCCAAACTTCCTGGAAAAATTTCTCGAACGACCTCTTATCAGTTTATATTCTCCTGATACAAAATCGAAAAATTGGACAAAAGTTTCTTTCCTTCAAGAATTTTGAAAATTCTTGGAATTTGACGTCATTTCCACGAATTACCGAAGTTTCTAAGAATCTGGCGTCATTTTCAAGAACTGCTAAAGTTCTTGGAAAAATTTCTCGAATTATCCTTTATCAACTTATATTTTCCTGATATGAATTCGAATTTTCGAGTAACAAATTTTTGCCGAAATTTCAAATTTTTGCAATATTTCCAGAAGTAATAATTTTTATGAAATTTTATATACTTACCTGTATAATACTTACCATTATATACTTACCTGTATACTTACCTTTTGCAGTTATTATTTTGTTTATGTTTTGTATAGTTTTTTCAACAGTTTACTTAATTCTAGATATACTTACCAATAAGACTTGCCATCTTTTTGCAATATTGAATGTTATTCAACAATTTCTTATTTCTGGTATCTCACATATTTTTATTTATTGGTTTACGAGATAATTAAATATAATTAAATATCTCTCTAACTAATTGCATCTCTTAACATATCAAAGATACGTTAAGATATGTCAAAAGTGAAATATTTCCAATGACAAGATCACATGATATCGGTAATAATGAACATGTATACAATATATACACTAAAATAAAAAATAACATTAACTTTTTTATTTTTCAATCGAAAACATATATCTTAAATTTTCAACATCCAATTCTTTTAACTTCACATTTCTTTCCAAATTCTAAAACATCTTACCTCTAATCCCAATCAATTTCCATCCACCTCTCTTCAATTTCCAATTCAATCTTTCTAACCAAATCATGTCGTCATCATGCAGCCAATAACTAATCAAATCAAATCCGAAGGAATATTGAAAAAAAAAAATCTTGGAAAATCCAAAAATTCACACTTCCTATCAAATCTCCTTCTCCATTTAGATCAAGCATCCCTGGTTCGATTGTTCACTGGCGAGGACACACATCTTTAAACATAACCTTACGCCAAAGACAACCTACGTCGTGGGACATATACCGGCGAATGTTAAGAGGTCCCTTTCGAGCGTGTCCCCGAGCCTTGGTACCGAGGCCAGGATGTACTATAACGTACATCCACGGCTCTGGCTGCTGGGAATACAGCGTGGGTACTTACCTTTAGCCGAGAGAGCCGATCGCCTTTCTCAGAATTAGATAAGTCCCTTTATTGGTGATCGGATCACAGCAGCAGCAGCAGCAGCAGCAGCAGTAGGAGCAGCAGAGCGGCAGCAAGTTCAAGGTTGGCTGGTTAAAAATAACCAGCTTGGCGGACTCTCGCTCGGCAGAGAACTGCTGCTGCCGTTCCCTCCGCTAAACTCGACCGGAAATCTACTGTCCGACGTTGAACCGAGTTTCCAGCTCCCCTGAACGCCAGTCCCCAGACAGAGACGGTGATTATTCTTTCCAACAACGGTTGACGACCGCTCTTCATTGTTGCGTGTTGACAGTTTCGGTATCAGGAGGATAGATTTGATGCGAAAAATGTAACTGATCTATGATGATAATTTAAATATAACGATAATTAAGCTAACTATGAAACGGTAATTGCATTAGTCTGAAACGTAAAAGATCCGTTATAGATGTTAAATCAATGTAGGTCACACGTGTCTTAACCACAATTAATAATTAGATACTTTGAAATTAAACGAAGGCAGTCGAAATATATCTTTTATATATAAACACGTATATAATAAAACACGTCTAATAATAAAATAAAAAATACAAAATGTGTAATAACGTATTTCAAGATTATATTTTCTTAAGGAAAAAACAAATCTTAGAGTTACAACTTGATATAAAGTGAACAACGTGTGTAAGGTGATAAGATATATATTTACTATAAAATAATATTAACAGTTAAGTCGAATGGATATTTATCATATTGAACGGCTGGCATACCATATCACGAGAAAAATTACATATCCTTTATCCACGTCGTTCTGAGAAATTATATTGCACAATCTTCTCCATAAAATTATATCGTTATATCATTCTAAATTTTATGTTGATATATATATATGTATATCGACCAGGTTACAATATCAGTAATTAGATAAACAGTTATGCCATAACGCGACGGAGTAACTGCGTTCCAGGCTACTAAAAACTTCATGAACTTTTTCTTCCGGCTAAGGAAAGCTATTCCCCTCGGATGTATCGACATACCGTTACGAAATCCATCTCCCAGCTTATCAAATCAATTTTCTTCACTCGTATCCAATCTACCCTTGTTTTAACAATATTACACATTATATCCTAACGACAAACAATCTACCTCGTTTCGTTCATCTCCGATACTTAACCTCAATACTGAAAATATTTATTGATTATCAACCATGTTATTATTACTAAATATAATTAACCCCAATATCCAACCGCCAATATCTTATCTAAACAATATTTGAAACATTATCAAACACTTTCACCCACCATTCCAACCTAACCTATTTTAACATTACTAAATTAATCCAACCCTTTGACAATCTTATTTTCCCCTAACCTAAAAAAAAAAAAAAAGTCAACAAGAATCCCCGCAATTTGTCGTTTCACGAATAATCAATAACCTTCTGTCGAAAGTATATAGACGCGATAACGGTTTTACAACATGGAAAACGCCATCGACACCTCGTGTCACGACGTTACCAAGAATAAATGGCACGAGCTGGCCGTGCACGCGCATAGCTGAGCTTCTCGACACGGCCGCAACGGCGCCTCCACCGTGTATCACCGCAAACCCGTGTAACGAGGTCGAGCGTGTTCGACCGGCTCTCGATGCTCGACTTCGCGTGCTTTATGGACCTAAATATCGCGAACTGGGTAAAGAGCACGCGAGCAAGCGATCCCAATGTGGGGTCACCGGGGTTGAATCGAGCTGGGAAGAGATCGAGCAATTACTCGGAAGCGACCACCGATCGTTCTTGGCGGGAGATTCTTCGAGTATCGTACGAACACCGGATATCTCGAAAATTACTACGAAGACTTTGCCTGTTGTAGCTAAGTATGTTAGAGGTTATGTAGAAAGAAGAAACGATTTCTATTCAATACTTACTGATTATGACGAATTTAAAGTAAAATATTTGAAACGTTATTATTTAAATGTTATAAAAGAGAATAAAATAATGAAAATGATTTTTTTTTATTATTTTGAAATGATAATGCCTTTCTATTTGATAATATATTTTAATATATATTGTTTGAAGAAAAAGAAAGTGAAACAGGTAATGAATAATACACCCCAACACGTGAGTTCAACAGCGATTCCGTCAACGTCGCGTTTTATTGAATAATCAAAGTGGTAACACTATAGTAGTGACATTTTTCATAAGTGTAATAAATGATTAGCCTAAAAATTCTACCGCTGCATCGTCATAGTGATCACCATCATCATATTATTATTATCATCATTCTCATCATCGCTATCAGCATCGATAACGTTGTCACATCTCGTTTCGAAATGGAGAAAAGAAAAAAAAAAAAAAAACTAAAGAAAGGAAAAACTCTTGCTAAATCTTAATAATATAAATGAACCATTTCACATCGTTCTTTTACATACTAATTATTATACGTGTATAATCGATATTGCAATAATCTTAAAAATTAAAATCGGTGTGACAGTGTGTGTTTCTTCTGCGTCGCGTGTTCATATTTTATATTACGTATAGCTTCGTACACATAGGTACAATTACAGTGTAAATCGATCCCGGAAGCAGGCGGGATTTTCCGCTTTCCGGAACATATATAAATGGCGGCCTAAATTCGTGTCGACGAATTTCACATTCGGTAACATTCATCGACGTTATTATTTCAAACTATTAATTCTTGTTCCATCTCTTTTTCTCAATCCCTTTCTCAAAATTGTACGGTCAATCCGATAAAATCATTCATCGAATAGAACGAAAACAGAATATCTCGATTCTTCGCATAGATAGATATCAAAATTTCATTCGCACGAAAAAGCCTGACGCGGTGAAATGGAATGTAAATTTGGATAAAATAGAGATGAGTTTTTGCAAATATTATCCGAGAAACGTTCGTAATTAACCCTCAATTAGTATATATAGTATAGCAACATTATGAACGATCACGACAGAAGTTAGGTTATTTAATTCCTTACAGATCTGTACAGCATAGATTTTTTTTCTTTTTTTTTTTTTTCTTTTTTTTAGTGTATCTTATATACCTTTATATTTTCATAACCGTTATGTTATTTTTTTTTTTATATTAATTCTTTTTATCTTACATTTATAATTATAATATATAGTCTTTCTCGTGTAAAATATCGTATAAAATACGAAGTAAAATAAAATAAACTCTGGAATCAAATAAATTAACTCGAAACTGTCGTCACCGTTTATAATCTAAACACACTTGTTGAAGATTAAAAATACGAAACTGATCGCCATGAGGCGATTTTGCGATTTTTAATTGCAGAAGACATATAGTAGAAAAATAGATACGTTTTGAAAGACATTTTCGCAGCTAGCTTGAGCTTGGCGTCAGCACATTTCGCAGAAGCAAAGGAACTTACATTTATATTGCGAAGGATCGATATATTGCGTTCTTCGATATTTATTAAAAAAAAAAAAAATTGCAACGATTTATTTATTTATTTTTTTTTCCCCAATTTATGCGATATACGAGCTTCAACAAGTATTAATTAGTATTAACTCGCTCGTTGTAAATCAAAGATGCTACATTGGTGTGAATTTATAATAATTTTAATATTAGTTTGTTGCATAGTAAATATAATTTTTGAACGTATGGATATTTTGAAATACGTTCTGGATATTTTAAAATTATAAAACATTCAACATTTCATTTATTTACGTATTATTCTTTTCTATTATATCCCTATTACTTAGATTCATTTTCTTCTTTAAAGGAATATACCATCTCGTAAAAGGATAAATCTGAAATTTTCCTTCTTCTAAGTACGACGCTTAAAAGTAAATTTAAAAAAGAAAGAAGAAAAAATAAAACTACGAATTTCAAGAGAAAAGAATCTTTGTTCACAGGAAGAAATCAATTTCGAAGGAATATATAAGTGTATACAAAAAGATGTGTATACGAAGATTAAAATGTCAAAAATTCTAGCTATTGCTAATTTCCTACGACAAAATAATTTAACGTAGTTCTCTTGTGAAATATATATATATATATATAAATATATCAATGTATTACTTTTATATCGTGAACGATGAAATATCAAAATTGATTCTCGTCGTGAATTTTCTTTCGTGAAACAGATTGGATAATAGTGGAATTATGATTATCGTTTAATACGTACGTTCTACATGATAAAAAGAGGAAAAGTGTTTATTAACATTAATAGCAATGACGTGTACGACTAATTTAAAAAAAGAAAAGAAAAAAAAAATAAAAAGAAGAAGAAGAAAAATAAGAAACAATCGGAGAGGCACGATCAAGAGGAGTTTTAATTTAATTACATACGCTTTTGCTCTCCCCCCATGTCGTCTCTCTCGATCGCTTTCTCTTTCGCTCGTTCCCTCTCACTCTTCTCGCATAATTAATCGCTATGGATCGTTAAGTAACTAGAATTTTTATCGAAAAATAGGACACGTCGCGTTTCTCGTTTATCTCGATCCCTTATTTATTCAATTTCTCATTCTTTCTCTCTCTCTCTCTTCTCTCTCTCTCTCTCTCTCTCTCTTCTCTCTTTTTAAATTTTCCATCTCTTCGTTCTCTAAGAAGATACACAGGTTCATTAAGGAGATACACAGATCTTAAAGTATCTAAAAATAAGTAAAAATGTAGTAATTTTTATTACTTACTTTTTTTTATTGTAAGTAGTTAATGTTGGAACTTTTATTACTTACTGTTATTATAAGTAATTACTAAAATGTAAAATTCAGATATACTCTTATAATTATTGTGTAATGTAAGTTTTAACTTTCGTTTAATCATAGATACATTGGAAAATGATTCTCAGCAACGTTGAAATTTGAAATTTAAAATATAGATAACTTACATAAAAGTACTATCGAGACGAAGCGTGAAACGTCTGAATGAAATGAAAAATCATTCTCCGATTCATCAAATTAAATTGTAAATTGCTCGATTCTAAAAAGAAGAAGAAAAAAAAAATTCGTAAAAATGTCAAGGAATAAAAGTATCTTTTTAATAAAAAGAAAAAAAAATTAAAAAAAATCAGCTTTCTCAACGTTTCAACTCCTCGTTTCAACTACATTTTAATCTAATCCTAAAACGTAGATTAAAAAAAGAAAAAAAGAAAAAAAAGAAGTTAAATCTATAAAACTTATTTAAAAAAAGAATCCTAATAATTTACCTATTTTTGATCAACTTTAAGATCAAAAAAAGTCTCCTTCGACGAATGAAAAAAAATCATCCCCTATTACAAATCGCATAAATATCCACGGTATCGATTAAAAAAAGATGCGTGATCAACGCAACAACAATGATCGACGAAGATATTCGAAATGGGTACAGGTTTAAAAATCGGTGAGAACACACTCGCCACGATCACGGCGAAGAAAAGTCAACGAGCGAGTCGGCCGCCTCGCTTACTTAACAAACCGGAACAAAGTTAAACGATAATTTCGCGATTCGTGGATCCGTCACGTCGCGTGCGATCATCTTAGATTCAACATCTTCAAAATCAATCTTCAACGTCGGCGATCGTCGCCAATTCGGAATGTTCGCGATAATGATATCAAATTGAACACAAGATATTCGTTTTTTTTTTTTTTTTTTTTTTTAAGGATGAGTCGAAGAGACTCGTTCTCAACTTCGAATCCTAATAATAATTTGCGAAGTCTCGAAACTCTGGAAACCTTGAAACTGTCGAGACGCTTATTTCTTTCTCCCTCTCTATCTCTCTTTTTATTTTTCTAAGAAGAATCTATTTTGTCAAGAATTAAAACTCTTTGAACTCAAATTGCATAAGTATATTATTATAACAATGGTAAATATTTCGATATTTATTTATAAAAATTTTATCGAATCATTATTAATTAAATAAGCATATTTATTCTTTATTTTAAATTTTTCGAGAGTTTCAAATCGCAGAAAAAAGACTTCAAGATTCGAAGTTCCGAGCGACTCACCCCTAAATTTTTTCCCGATTATTTTTTTATTCCCCCTTTTTCTCAATTTGAACACGCGTAATGATACGAATCAATTATCCAATTTATACTTGATTATTTCTATGTATCCATATTTATTGCTTACGATTCTTGATAATAGATCTCTTTGATAATATTTTTATTGTTTGTACAATTGAAAATCTGTGGGACAAAAGTTCGTAGACAACAATAAAAAGCGCAATTCTCTTCTAATATTATTTTTCTTTCCGCATAGCTCTCTTCGTCCTTTCCATCGTTCACGTACACGTACAAATATTTCTTCCTTCCATCGATAATTAGGTCTGGTACGATGATTATCACGATGCAACGAAAACGATCGAATATACGTTCCTTCATTTTTTTTTTTTTTTTGATCGTTTACGACGTACAATAACAATTTGATATCTTGCACAACTGACGAATATCGATATTAATTCGTTTATCCTTTAATTTGTTAACCTGATGCACGATTTACCGACTACCCTCTGCAACGCGATATGATTTTAACCGTTTCACTTATATTCCAATATTTCCTTTCTCTTTTCTTATAATATATATACGTATATACATGTAAAGTTCAAAGAGGATCGTACGTTATTAATATATAATGGATCGATAGTTTAACAATTATGTTATTTATTTGATTCGATTAAAGAATGTCTAAGATTAATTTTAATCGTTCGAAAGATCGTAAAAATGTGTAAAGTTGGGTGGGGGTGTCACAGAGGGTGGCGAAAGAACAGAGGAAATTGCCTTATGAAATATCGAGCAAATCTAACATTTGCAAATCTCTATATTTTTATTCTCCGATATAATAATCTGGTGAATACTGTGAGAGTTATCTCGCCCCGTGAACGATTATTTCGTATTGTAACACAATTACGATATTCCATTTGGTGAGATTTAAATTTTATTTAAGCGTTTCACTTGTATATACGTGCACGTGATCTTCATCTATGATGAAACGACGCCATTTTTGTGTGGATGGTGCCAACTTCAATAATAAAATGATTTTTCATTCATGAATAATATTATTTGTTTAATATAATGATTAATAAAATATTGTATAAAATTGATTCATTAAATGACATTTACTTCATTGATAAAATAACGATAATTTTCTTTTCACTATATATTGTACCATTTTTTTTTTTTATTCGATATGCGATTCTAAGTATTCCTATACCTATTATCAAAATTGTAAGATTAATTGTAAATTTAATAATAAGATAAATTGTAAATTTCTCTATAAAATTGCGTGATCAATCGTTCAACTGACAAAATATTATCGTTGCAATGAAAAACAATATCTAATATTTATGGTCCAACAAAGAACATAACCTAACTAAATTAACCTTCAACTGGTGACAAAATCGCTAATGGAATATTTCGAAATGAAAAGTTT